TCCTTATTACCTTTCATTCAAGGTAATAAGTACACAGTTAATCCAAACAATGTTCCTTATTACCTTTCATTCAAGGTAATAAGTACATAATTAATCCAAACAATGTTCCTTATTTACCTTTCATTCAAGGTAATAAGTACATAATTAATCCAAACAATGTTCCTTATTACCTTGAATGAAAGGTAATAAGTACATAATTAATCCAAACAATGTTCCTTATTTACCTGTACAGTTCTTTATCAAAAAGACTAGCAACAGTTTTAAGTAATCTAGAGACAAACGAGTCTTCATCAGCATTTCCAGATGATGCAACTGCTATGCTGTATTTTTTTTCCAAATCAGCAAGTCGTGTTTGTAGCTTTACATACTCCTCACGTAACAAGGCTAGGTGTCGCTTTAGTTTTACCACCTCTGAAAGGATGAGGAACAACTTCTAAATTACAATTTAATCAAAAATCCATCAAAATATTAAATCATTTTGAAAAGCATTCCTTGTAAGATGTCTTAACCTGACTGGATAACATTTTAGAGCCACAAAGCACATCTTACTACCACTGATCTAAAATTGATGCAAGAGACCATGGTTACCAAAACAACAAATGTAGGAATCTAATAACTGATCTCTAATAACTTACCCTCTCACTCACTCAAAGTTCCTCAAATAGACAGTTATATTATTTTAGGCTTTGTTTTTTAATTCAGACATTTTTCTCATCTTTTTATTTGACTGGAAAGAGGTTTTTATGTCACACGATGTATGCATGGATAAAATTTGTAACTTTTTAAGAGATTAATAAACATTCTGTGTGGTATAAAACATGGGTTAAGGTAGATGGTGATTGATTAGTGAATCTGTGGCAACAGGTTTATTACTGATTTTGTGAGCTTTTTATTTTGTCTGTTACTTCAGTTTTGTGTTTCAACAAATTACTACAGATATGAGGTCATATACATCTCTTCACAAGATGGCAGGGGTTCCATATGGGCACACCTGTGGGAAACCACATGTTCTCTCATGCTGTACGTATGAGAGAAAATTAACTTGGGTTTGTCAGTGAACATAAAAGCAAAACTTTCTTTATCATTAAATGGACTTGCCTTTGCATACTTCTTTTTTACCAAATAATCCAAAAATTAACATATGGGCACACCTGTGGGAAATCACATCTCGTCTCGACCAGAGTATACTCTTTGCCCAAAATGTAAAGGGGAGAAAGGCAGAATAAGGACATGACTGTCTGAGCACTTGCACACAAGGAATCGGCAAGCCAATAAGTGTTGTGTGGTTAGGGTATAATCAGATTGTTTAGTGTGTTATCACCTCAACTCAACTAAACAGACCCAGGCTGGAGAAATAGGGCACACCAGCTGTTTGAGGGATGACCTGCACTACACTGCAAGTATCACCCTTGCCCTATTTCTCACCAACTTGTGCTGAGTCGAATCAGTAACTCTCCAAGGTTCGCCACTCCAGCAACTAGGAACTAGTAAGTGGCAAGGGTCTCCCATGCTCCATGTGAAAAGGGGGAGGGAGAATTGAAGTTGAGGAGACTCAGAGAAGCATCTGAATCTTCATCAGACACCTGTTGGAAAGTCCTTTTACTAGAGACAGTGCAATGAGCCAAAGAAGTGGACTGTCACTTCCCTGGTGTCAGTTTTTTCCATTATAGGCCATGGAATGGTACGGTCTGAATCGGGCATTTGAGTAATTTTGTATACCAAGGTCTTGCAGAACAACCCATCTCGACAGTGAACACTGGATAAGTCAGGACAGATGAATTGAGCACTTTTCATTAACCCTGGCCTGATGTGAATTTTGAGAAGTAAGCATACTCTGGAAGGCAGCACCAGCCACTTGGTGGAATCCTATTAAACAAATGAGAGAGAAAAAAATACCCATCTCAAAGACAGTGAGTCGATTGAAGAATGGTGACTGGAGGAGACAAAATAGGCAGATGATGAAGATAATGAGCTACGAATGTGTGGAGAGTTATCCACATGCCCTCTTGGAAGATCTTGTCCAAGGGCCAGCAAAGATGAGAAGCAAGAGAATGAGACAAGTGATGAATCTGATGCAATAAAATATGAAAGAGCCTGAGAGCACCAACATTCAAGAAAGAATACACAAACTGGAAGAATTGACAGACCTACCTGGTAAGGGTAGAAGATGAAAACAGGACATAGGAGCTGATTTGGGTTTGAAAGAGTACAGAGGTGAGATAGAAGGTAGGGAGACAGGAGAGAAAGGACAGTCACTCTCCTGAACAGCTGAAGTCTTAGGAAGACTGGTCTGAGTATAGGAGTAAATAATTGTGATGGAATAGACTGCGAGAAGCATCAAGAGCATAGTCATCTGGAGGACGGCAACCACAGATGAGAAGGAAGGAAGTTTTTAGAGAAAGGTGGTATCAAAAGCAAGTAGCCAATGGCTCACATGGGGCATTTTTTAACACTGAGGTCTTAGTCAGGCATAGTAGTTGGATGAGGGGTTAGTGAAGAAGGAAGGAACAGTAGAAAACACCCTATGGTAGCAAGAAATACGAAAGGTAATGGATAAAACTGCCTGATAACTAGTAATGGTGGAGACTGGAAAACTATGGTCAAACAACCAAGTAAAAAAGGCAGAAAGGTGTGTCACAGTAGGATGAATAAGAGTAAGAGAGAATCAGATTGACGAATGATGAAAAACCTGCCACTAATGGGAGAAGAAGGTTACGTGATCTCAGAATCTGGCCCTAAGAGCAATGGACCAGACAAATCCCACGTGTGAAGATGAAGTGATGATAATTCTGAATGAAAAAGTGATGTGTGAGGTTGAAGCAATAGAGAGTGGGTACTAGGTAGAGGAAGGTGGGTCTGGATGCAAATAGAGGTATAGGAAACCAAAGCTGAACTGGCATATGAGCTGCCACCAAGAAGATCCAATAAGGAGTGTCATGTATCAAGGTTACGATCCAAGGGAGGAGTCGAAGAGAAGAATAGGCGTACAGGAATAGGTGAGACCAATTCTGGCTGAAAGCATCAACAGCCAGAGCTAAAGGATGAGGAACTGGGGACCAGAGGAGAAGAAGCTTAGAGTTGAGAGAGATGACCAAGATATCTACGAGGGGTGTGTCCAATCAAGAGCAAACTGAACGAAAAATCTGGGATGGAGAGACCACTATGTGGATAGAACACAGTCTGGCTGAGAGATGCAATCCACCACCAGGTTCAAAGCCCCTGGCACATGACAAGCCCAATGGAAATGAGCCCAAAAGAGGAGGTCTAACACCTAAAAGCAGAGTCCTTGGGCAGATGTCCCTTGACAGTTGATATAAGAAACAACCATGGAATTGTCTGAGTGAAGCATGACCAACTGATCTACTAGAAGAAGTAGGAAATGAGAACATACCTAATGAGCAGCAAGAAGTTTGAGGACACTGATGTACAGTGCACTTTCCTCCTGTACCCAAATGCCAGAAGTCATGCTGTTGTTCAGATACTTTCCTCAACACAAGAGGGAAGCTTCTGTGAAAAGATGGAGATCTGGTTGGGAATGGTAGAGGGAAAATCAATCATAATATTTGCACACTCTAGCTTCCAAGAGAAGAGAGGGGAGGTTCAGATTCGGGGACAG